GGCAAGCTTTTGAGAAAAAACAAGCATTTAAGATTAGAGTTTTCAGTTGCAACTGAACAGTGCATTCAAGCTCAAGGACCAGCAAGTACTGATACGAAGGGGATCAATACCAGATCCCATAACCTATTTCCTTTCCAAGCACAATCACTTTCATTCCATTTGATTTTAAACACTACAGATTCTATCCGTACATGTTGCTAAAAGGGACTGGCTATGAGAACCAAAGAAAGGTCAGAGGGGTGTGTATCCAGCATCAGTGACCTCCTCCTTTGGTACCGTTTTAAGCATCCAAAGCAGCAATAAGTAAGTCGTAATTGCTCCTTTCGTTAGCAAAGGAGCTGTGGCAGGCGACAGAGACCTCTTGTGGAGGAACCAGGTACTGCAAGCACACATACCCCACCTCCTGGGTACCTTCCTTGTCTTGTCCCTCTTTCCATACTAAAGGGCTCTTTAGTGGACATCCCCACTGGATCTTCCCCACTGATTTCATCTCAGGCACCAGCATCACGGTGGGAAGAAAACACCCAAGCACCTGGAAGTTTTCTTCCCTAATTTTTCGCTCCTAAGGAAGCAAGAATGTGAGATTACAAATAATTCAGAGCCGGTGGAGGAAAACAAAGCTGTTCTGACACAAAACAGACACCAAAAACACAAACATGATGTATGAAAACTTATTTTTCTCTACAATGAGAAGCTTTTCTGCATCCCACGGCTCCATTTGGTTGCTTGCAGAGCTGGGTATATTGCACACTAACGGTGAAAAGTGGTTGAAACAGAGTACAGCATATGTGTGAATGTGACTTCTGTGGAGGATCTCTGTGCACGCACACTTCGTAACTAGGATAGTAAATAGGATGCTGTGACAACACCAGGAGGGTTGTCTGAGCCTTGGTGCTCCAAGAGCTCGTGTACCCTGACAGAACACTAAGAACAGCTCATTCCCACCAGAGCCTTCCTCTTCAGAAGGCATTACAAGGCAAGGCTAATTCAACAGCAGCGATCACAATGAGCTCCCAGGCTCAGCCCCAGCAGCCAGTGGGCACAAAGGACCTGCAGTCGGTGCCTCACCGCTGCCTTGCTGGGGTGGCAGCAGCACTGGGATGGCTTAAACCCATCACTTGACAGGTCGGGTCTCAAGACTCGGGCTGAAGATAACCCCAGCAGAATTCCTGACATGGCCCAAGGAATCAGGGACCAGAGGTGGCTGCAATTGTCTCCCTGGCCATTGCTCTCCTGTCGGTTCATTTACAGCAGTAGCACCGGTGGTCAGTGTTTGCTATATGAGGGCAGCTGCTTCCAGGCAGTAACTTGGAAAGCTCAGCACCATCCCAGCACCTGAGCTGTGCCCAACATAAAAGCTGCTGAGGGACCACCTACCAGGCTGCTGCCTCCTGTGGTGGGCAGGGAATTGCTCACCAGCACCTCAAAGGCCTTTTCTATGCCAGCTGCCTCATCTTCCCATGGGGATGCTGAAGCCTGTGGGGGGAAGCTGAGCATGGGAACTTGAAGAAGCAGGAAGAAGACATCAGGGAAAAACACTGGGGAAACAAAGGTTGCTGAGAACCCCCCTTTCAGCTGCTCCTGCCTACCCCAGTCCTTTTGGCTGCTTGGGAATGGCTGGTCCAGGACCATGGTGTCCAAGCTCCGTCAGCACAGGTCAGCACAGGGACAAAGCTCCTCAGCTCTGACTCAGAGAAAACAGCCCACATTGCTTAGTAAGATACAGCACAAAACAGCATGCTTCATCCCTGGCATCTCCACCTCTTTATCACTCAGGGACACGAGCCTGCCTGAATCCTCCTTGCTATCTGATGGTGTCAGATGGCACGTTGCTGACAGCTCTTCTGCTCATGTCAGGCACAGCAGCAGGCACAAATCCAGGTGTTTATCTCCAGAACAGACAAGAGGAGGCGAGGGAAAAGCAGTGGCCAAAACAGCCTTCAGACCATGGAAACCCACAAGGTGGTGGTTGCTGCTTGTTACAGGCACTGTTTGCACCAGTGAAATCATAGATCCCAGACTGGTTTGGGTTGAAGGAACCTTAAAGCTCCTCCAGCTCCAACCCCTGCCACAGGCAAGGACCCCTTCCACTGGAGCAGCTTGCTCCAAGCCCCTGTGTCCAACCTGGCCTTGGACACTGCCAGGGATGGGGCAGCCACAGCTTCTCTGGGCACGCTGTAGTTGTCCCCATTAGCTCTTCATGCGGCGCTAGCTCCCCTGCAGAGCAGCACCCAGAGTCCCCCCATTTCTGTGCCAAGAGCTCCACCCGGTGGCCTCCCCAGCCGTGGCTTTCTCCCTTAGAACCACCATAAAACTGGAATACTGAAGTAAAACAGAAGCTTGGGACTGTGCCTGGAGCTGCATGGACAGAGCTGGGCAAACGCCCTGTTCACTGGATGAAACCCAGGCACTACACGAGCAACGAACACGATCCTGTGGTACAGGTGTCCCGTGGGAGAGGGAAGAGGTGCTGGGACCAGGCTGAATGTGCAGAGCTGCAGAGGCTTTGAGAGAGCAAGCTCTGGTCCCACTTATGACAGGCACTTGCCTCCTCTCCTCCATCACCTCCCCTCCCAGGAGAGCATCCTTGCTGCTCCTGGTGGGCAAGTACCATCATGTTAAAGGTGCTGTGCAGCACAGCAGGGTGCCATCAGCAAACCAAGGCAGGTCCAGTACAGGGATGAGCACTCACCTTCCCATTTGAGTGCAGTGCTCTGAGGAGTTTCCATAAGCTGAATGGATCCAAAATGAGTACAAGCAAGCCATGCTCTGGCACAGGAGACCCCATCAAACAGGCAAGTGACCTCGCTTGGAGTAATGAGAAATACAAAGAGCTCACATGAGTATGAACATGGAGGAGGAAAGGGCTACTTTGGGAGCGAGCAACCTACACCAAACACCAGCATGCTCATCCTGGCAGCACTGCACCGACTCACACAACGTGCTTTAGCTCACAAGGGCACAGCTTAATGCTCAGCTGAAGCATTCAGTCAGCTAATGCAGCCCTCCACCTCCCTTTCCCCCCCTCTCATCTCTCTTTCCTTTCCACTTCCATTTTCAATATGAGTTCCCCCATCCCTGGCAGTGCTCAAGGCCAGGTTGGACACAGGGGCTTGGAGCAGCCTGCTCTAGCGGAAGGTGTCCCTGCCTGTGCCAGGGGTTGGAAATGGATGAGCTTTAAGGTCTGTTCCGTCCCAAACCATTCCATGATCCTATGACAGGCAGGGCTTTGCTCTAACACCTTTCTGCACTCAGGAAGCCCCTCTTGCCCCTCAGCTGGATGGCAGAAGCCCCTGACCCCCAACCCTCCACATCAGCCCTCTTCCCCACACCAGGATCAGCTTGGTTGGCAGAACAGGAATGAATCCTGGAATCCAGCTGCCCTGCACCTCATGCTCCAGCATCCCTCCCAGGAAGGAATTCAGGTTGCTGTGCTCTTATAGAAGGCCTATTCACTGAGGCACCAGGCACTAATGCCTAACAAGCAATCAAGAGCTCAAGTACATTCAGGCCTCTGAGGATCTCCAGAAGCATCGCTGCTATGATCAGTTAACACAGATACAGCAAAGTTTAATGCTAACAAAAAATACTCACACACTGCATCGATGCAAAGGATCTCTTTCCAAAGAACATAGAAAGTGTCACCTCGAAGTATCTGCGGTTATATGGGGTTAAACAGAAATCCTAATTTGCAAGCTGTATTTTTTCACTGGAAAAGACCACACCTGAAAACCCATAAGCATAACGCTGACATACCAAGGAAGATAAAGATTGCTTCTTTCAGCCCACACTGAACCAGTCTACCCAAAAGTGCAAATCCACCTGCATATGTGCACTGAAAAGCTTCTAGTTCAGGACTCATTAAATACAGATTGGACTGGTATGAAGAAAGTATTCCACAGAATCCAAACCCTTGCAGCCTGCCAACAGGGAGGCTCCCACTTCCAAAAACTAAGCTGTGCCATCCTTACCCTTCCCTGTATCAGTCTGTTTGATGCTGAAAACAAATTGAGTGACAGCAAATCCAGGTTCCTCGCCAGAATGAAGCTGCTGAATCTCTGCTTATTCACTTCCCAGGGTCCGTCCAAGAGCCTACCCAAGGCATCCTCCTGGTAAAGGCTCTGTAGCTGTTGGTATAACTTATAGCAACCCCATCGCTGCTTCATTAGGACAATGATTTAACAGTATTTTTGATAGTGTTTTAAGTATTCCTTTTGGAAGACATTTGTGAAGGAAACTGCTGATGGCAAGTGCATAGAGGGCAAAGCTTAATGTCAGAGAAATGTGTTTTTCTCACTAACTGGATTAGCAACAAGCAGAAAGCATTTTAAATGAAGGGTGGGAATTTCAAAGCCGATTGCTGCAGAAGCATCAATTGTACTCGTCATTCCACAGAAAGGGATAAAAGAAACCCCTTGTTTAGGGCTTTTAAGAGCCCACCTCAGAGCTTCAAATTAACAGAAGAAATATTTCATCATAAAGGAAACACCGGGTCATCTTCAGTGACCATTGTACTCAGTGCTCTGTGCTGGCAATTAGAGAACACGCTCCTTTTCCTGCTTACAAAGATCTTACCTGCATGTCTTTGTTCAGGCTTTCCCCAGGTGAACTGTGCACCTAAACACAGGCTTTGGAAGCTTCTGATGTTACATCCTTACCAGTCATTTGCTATTCATTTATGTGAGGCTTCATCTGCCAGGAGGGAGTTACTGCTGTCACGTTCTAACATCCAGCTCCAACTGCTTGTTCCTTGAACTGCATGGGTTATAAAAGCATTTAAAAGTAATCTTCCATCAAACTCCTGCGGCTCAATAATTGCTTGGTTATTTATATGGTGCAGCAGTTTTGCTTTAATGTCTTTTAAGGGATTCTCCTCCTTCCCTGTTGTTACGGAATTAGGATGCAGGTGGGATAATGCTAGTCGTTGCTATAGTATCTGCTTGGAATCTCCACGCACACAGGAATAACTGGGGAACCATCACAGGAATGTTACACACCAGTAAAGGAAGAGATATTGGTTTTATTTCACTCATAAAACTTTTTTAGATTTGTCCACAGCATTGATTTACGTCAGAAAATAAAGCATTTTGGAAAAAGTTACATTTTTTTTCAGCTTTTCCTCCTCTTTTTTTTTATTTTTCCCCCACATTTTCCTTTCAGAACCTTTTTTTCTTTCCAGTGGTGAGGGGTTATTCACACAGCATCTCTCTTTGTTTAAAGCACATAGAAATAACACCCTGTCAGGACATGTGCCAGCCTTCAACCGAACAGCCAACAGGCTCACGGTTTGAAGGACACCCCATTAACATCCATTTGGAATACCCATCAGTAACACAGCTTTCACACACCAGTCACCCCCCGAACATTATTCAGGCCAGTAAGCTCCCAGACAAGCTGATATGAAACACATGTTTGCAACCCATTTAGCTCCATCCTTGCCCTGGGCACACAGGTTTCTTCTCAGCCTGGTAAGTATGGTTATATGCTGAAGCAGTACAGGGTCATTAACTGCCAGCTTTGCAAGCTGGGTAGTTGCAAGCGCTTCAGAGAGTGCAATTTTGTGATCTGAAAATCCAGCAATAAGGTTTCCTTGCCATCTTTCCACTGCAGTTAACAACCACACACTCCAGTTTTGTAGGCAAATTGTCTTCGTTGCTGAAATCCTTGACATTAAACATCACCTAAACCGGTTGAGGCTGAGACTCTTTGTGATAAGTGCCTTCTTACAATACAGTGGTTGCCACTGAAATCTAGAAAGCTCTACCAACTAACACAGCAATGACAACACAGAATAACCTTCTGTCCATGATGCATCGCTGTTTCACAGTGGTTAGGAATATCCCTTATTTAGTCCTGCACCTTATCCAACACAGCAATCTCTAACACCCCCAGAAGTTGACTCTTGCGGCACCTATTTATCCCTAGCAATGTCCTGCATGGCTCAGTGCTCTTGCTATCAAATATATCATGTCATGAAATGGGTTGGGTTGAAAAGAACCTTAAAGCTCATCCAGTTCCAGCCCCTTCCACTGGAGCAGCTTGCCCCAAGCCCCTGTGTCCAACCTGGCCTTGAGCACTGCCAGGCATGGGGCAGCCACAGCTTCTCTGGGCACCCTGTGCCAGCGCCTCAGCACCCTCACTGTAAGTGCTCTTATTGCTTGAGTTCCTGAAGCATCTTCTACAGGAACAATCCTGCACTTCTCTAAACTTTCAGACGGTTCCAGCTTTTTGTTTCAGTTTCAGACAACTCAATACACTTCCAGTGACAACGTAAGGTATCAGCTTTAGTTTTCTATTTTGTCTTTCTCCAATTGCTACGTTATCAAAACAGCCCTCATTTAAAATGGTAAAGTTCTGCAGGAATACAACATCTGTCTCTAGCTCAAGGCAACAGAATAAATCAGCAAACTGAATGATACATGGGGTCATCTCTTCTTTTCTAAAGGAACAGCATGCAGCAGTGACAGCTTTTATGGCCCATCTCTTAAAAAAGGCATTGCTTGGCTCTGGCTTCAACTACCAGTGATGGAGGAAACACGAGTGAATCGCACTCCTCCCAGCAAAGCATTAAATCCGGTTTAATTCCCTGCATATTACATGTACCATTAAAATACAATGCAATGAATTTGTGTGATTATCATAAAACCTATTTCTTTCTAACAGTTATTCTAGCAGGAGTGAGGAGGCTGAGGTCTCTTTAAGCACCAATAAATGGGACTCTGTACTGATCCTCACTAGCAGCCACTTAATCACATGTGCTTGCATCCAGAGAAAGTAGCTTCTTTGACAACATCCTCAACAGATAAGATGCGGTTTGATTTCCACTGCTGCAGCTGATACTGCAGGGAAATACTGCCTTTAATACCAGAACTGAAATATACACAAGCTCCTAACACACTGCGTCCTTTGAGCAGCCACTTCTGGAATCAATTCATTCTCAATGCCTGCTTCCACAAACAAAGCAAACCTTTCTCTAAACAAACTTGGATTTTACAGGGTAAGAATTAACGATGGGAGAATTCAGTCTGTGGGGCATTAAGCTTCAGTGAAGCTAGCTCTGCTCGTCACTATTACTTTAACATCATAGCAGACACAATGCAGTGCAAGGAGAAAAACAGTGTTGGAATGAGTGCTAGCTTTGGTCTTGCATAGTGTTGTTTTTAATAGGATCACACAGAAGCACAGAAAACCATCTGGAAGTGTTCAAAGGACTGCTGCACTGGGACAGGTCTACATGAAAATGAGGGTACACACGGCGCTTACTGCAAACCTTCCAAATCCAGCATTTCCCAAACAGTTAAATTGCCAGGAAAACCTCAATTTTAAATAAAACCTCAAAATACAACACAATCGTTTTCCAGTTTATTGGAAAGAACATTGAAATATAATGTCCACTGTAGAGTTTGCCTCTACTGAGGGGACAGACAGAACAAACACTGTCCTGCTGAAGTCTATCATGTATTCTAGTTCAGAAAAGGACACTTTCAGCCTAGTTGCAAATAAACCTCACTTGCAGAACAAGCAGTGCCGATACACACTGTTAGCCCAGTTAATGTCCCCATATTCCTTCCAGGAGCAAGAATGTCAACAGTAAAAAATAGTGCTGGTGGGCTGAGAGAGGACGGAAAAGCGCATGCCCAGCAACATAAAAAGCGTTTTCCACATGTTGCTTAAATGAAGAGAAATCTAGGCAACAGAAGAAATGGTAGGAGAAAGATTTCAGGCTGATACTTACTTGTCTTTGGGGAGATCAGTTTAGAAGCACAGCAAATTTACTGTATTCTCAGGCAGGCTGAATACTGCCCCACATCTGGATACTCACGCAGAAGCAAGCAGTCAGCTCCAGTAACTTCTTGCTGCTACTACTGGCACAGTAGGACCACAACCCAAAAGGCCCAAGCTCAGAGGACAACATCCCGCTGTCCCTCTTTCACCCAGCATCCAAAGATTCCAGTAATAGAGATACGGGAAACCCACCTATAATGTCAGTCTTAACAGAGATGGCAGACTTCATGGCGTTTGGATTCAGCTATTCCACAGAGTAGCTCAACAATCTTCAGTGAAGGAGTCCCTGAATAAAAGAATTCAAGTGCCTGTGTCTCAGAGGAAACAGAGTCTCTGCTATACTGCCCTTCAATCACTGCCCTCTCTCTCACAAGAGACTTCTTGGACACACAGGTTTAAATATTAAGGGACTAAAGCTATCCAGAAGGACCAAATTCCTATTGCTTCATGCAGTGACCGGGGACCTGAACTCCTTAGGGCAACACAAAGGCAGAGCAAGAATACTGGAAGCAGTGAGAGAATAGAAGGAGTATCTATGCAAGAAGGAAAGAGGAAAAACCCTGAGAAGCACCTGGAAGCTTTTTCAGCCTCCAACCTGAAGAAAGAGGGCCTAAAAGCCACATATCTGTTAGTAATGCCAACATAGAAGTTCCTCAGTGCTGCCAGAGCAGTGTCTGTACTGACAAGCAAATTCTCTACCTTCTGCACTATAAGGCTATAGACAGGTCTTAAAGGGAAAAAGGCAAATCAATTGCAAAACTCAGATTGTGGCTGATAAAAATGTTCTTTTTTTGTCACTTCAAACTTTATTCCTAAGTTAATATAGTAAAAATAAGATAATTACAAAATACAATGCGGCAAGTCAGAGGCTATTTGCCCACTGTTTCCTATCCAAAACATACTTAACAGAGAGGTCATTACTAGAACTCCAAGACCACTTAATGCTCTTAGAATATTAGGTCGCACATAGACTTAACTCAGAAAAGCACTTAAATCTATTCCTGTTTTCAGGAAAAGGGCAAATATTCCCGACTCGGGACCTCCGAAGCAGAGGTATGATACATCATACTTGGCCAGAGAGCAGAGATTTGAGTGGTTTGTTTCACAAATCCTTGAATTCCACAGCAAGTCTTAGTCCAGTGTGTATTAAAAATAAGCCAGTTCAACTGAAAGTGCAATTCCTGTTTAAGAGCCAAGTTGTCTCGACTTTCACACATCATTCTCGCAGCAAAACAGCCACGCATTGAAACAGAAACAGGCAGGATGACGGTATCCCACACTCTGGGGTCATTCAGAAGGTTCACACAAGTTATTAGCACTCCCCAAAAATAACATTCTGGTTCATACAGGTGTGAAAATGTTCGACTGATTCCAAAATGCTTCTGACACTTCCAGTGTGAAATACCTAGGCAGAGCAGCAGCTCTGCAAATAGAAAATACCCTCATTTATTTCTATAAGCTACAAATTCAATGCTTATATTACTGATATTTTAACATCAATATTAGTTGCCAGCACATGGAACTCATGGACAAAGCACTATCAAATGGACAACTCAAGTGCTTTTGGGATTTGACTAGTTAACCCAAAATCCTGAGGCTCAAACGCTGCTCCAGGTCATGGACCTTCTCAGGACTGGAATTTCACCCCCACAGGATTTCTTTAAAACTGCATCAAATCACATTATAAAAACACATGCAGCGAAGCATCTGACACTTCCCCTGGGAGACCTTCCCATAGCCAACAAGCTGTTGTTTTTCCCCAAGCTGCATTTTAATGTCATTTCATCCCATTGCCCATTCTCATGGAAGTAAGGAGAAAGAGTCCCCAGGGAAGACAACAGGGAAAAAAAACCAAACAATTGCTAACCTACAGTGGAAAAGCATGTAAAAGTGATTTAACTGTGAAGTGTGTTGATGGAAGGGGAACCATGAAGGCAACGGTTAACTTAAGTCACAAAAGCAGCTTCCCAGCTTTCTCTTCTCCCTCAGCACGGAACAACGACAGATGTACAAGGATGGCTCCTTCTATGGGTTATCATTCCATAAATACATCTGTGGGAAAAGAACCAAAGCTCCCTTAATGTTGCTCAACTTCTGACTTCCTAGAACAGAAAGAAAAGCTCTTTGCTAGTTATTATTACAGTCACGAGAAGGTATCGGTCAAGAGATCTTCCCACTTCTTCTCCAAACCAAATGAAACTACCACATTACACAGCACCACCATTGTTTAGCAGAAACACTGTACCACCTATTAACCTGTCCCAGGAGCATCCAATTAAAGATGTTGCCGAGGGATATATCATTAAAACATCTGATTTACTCTAGAAGGCTTCCCTCACAACTTAATAAATAGTATCTTGCTGCTTGTTTAACATATCCTACAGCTAAAGGATAGATTTACTTCTATTTTATTCCTTCACCTTCTCCACTGCTAGCAGGAATTGGTGAAGAGACAGATGATAGAATTAGTGCAGGAGGTGTATGCAGACAGCTAGTTTGAAAACATTATAAACACACGACATTATAAACATAAAACTCCTGGAAGATACCATACAAAAAGAGACAAGAGTCATCACTAGTGTCAGCCTCAGAAGCAAACATTTGTCTTCTACAACAGGTAACACATTTTGTAATGTAAAAGCCCAAATCAGTAAAGAAAACCATTAGGTACCCTCCAGGAAACATCCAGTCTCCACTTGCCAATAGAGAGACTCACAAATAATATGAAAGGAGATGGATGCAATCAATCTCTGTCCTTCTTCAGAATCACAACCCCCAAAGGCATGGTGATAGCTAGCAAGAGCTATACACTAAAGGCCCGATTCATTTAGAAAAGAAAACATAAATAATTGCTTAATGATAGAAAGAAGACTAAAGAAGCTTGAAGGGGTTTCAGGTGTCCTCAGCAGCAGCTTCCCTCCGGCGCTGGGCCCGGAAATGACGCTCAATGTTTATGGTCACTTCCTTCTGCAAATTCCTGCTGTTGGTTTTCCCAGCTGTTCTGATCCAAGGGTGCTGCAGTACTTGGCGTGCTGTGTAGCGCTTCTGGGGATCCACTATCAACAGCCTGGTTATGAGGTCTTTTGCTGCTATTAGGAAAGAAAGAAAAGGAGAGGGGGAAAAGAACAGTGATGTGCTGATGCTGACAGTTATACCCACACAAAACATCCTTCTTATTGTGATTTATTGTGTTACCAGAATGCCTTTTGTGACTATCCTCAAGAGATATTCTAACAACTGGATATAGAATTAGTGACATGAGATGTTAGAACTCCAGCATATGTTTTACTGATTTCATTCTCCCCGTCAGAAAGGGAGGGGAAAGCAAAGGGAATTTCAACTTGAAAGCATGCTGTAGGCACCATATTCATGGGAATTAGCATTTCATACCTCATCCCTCAAGGAGCATAAAAGTCATAGAGTGCTGTTGAGCATGTTCTTTAAAAGACTTTATATGGAGAGAAGGGTGTTAGGGTTTCTGATTTTCAAGAGTGCACAGAAGACACTGCTAGCCTGCAAGGAGGAGGAAACTACTTCGTGCAGACCCCACTGATCTCATGAGGGAATCCACACCGTGCTCTGCAGAGCAAGGATTTCATTACTCAGCTTTTGAGAGGTTTGTGTTCGACCTAACAGAAACCTGGAGATTCTTTTGGTACCTTTTTCTTCCCCTTGTAAGCAAGATTAAGCAGATGCTTGCTCTTACCTCAGAAAGGGAGCAATTCATTAAATCAATCAGACCTAATATTCAGATCCACAGTCATTGATAGTAATAGCAGACTAAATCCCCATCTAAAGCAAACACAGGATCACATAAAAGACCTGTAAGACACCCCCAGGGTTCGTTGAGCTCACTGTCCTGAACAAAAGGGAGTTCTCACTACTGGGATGACATCTGTCACTTCTCAGACCTGCTGCCCATGCTGAATCTTACCTGCAGAAATATTGTCCCAGTATGGGGAAAGGAACTCATAGTGACCCAGCTGTATGATCTGGAACAGCTCCTCTTGGTCACGGTCCTGACTGCGAAAAGGGGGAAAACCGCAGAGCAGAATGTAAAGGATCACACCAGCTGCCCACATATCTACTTCCAGCCCATAGCCTAAGGAAGACAAGACAAACCGAAAGGCCTGGTTTAGAGAGAAAACTCACAACTGGTAGGGAGCTGTTTCTTGTTCATTCTCTTTTCCAAGGGACACAGAGGCTCTGCTCAGTTTCTCAAAGAGATGAGGTCAGCAGAAGAATGGTGGCTGGTGCATCACACTTGCAAAATGTGCTGCTCTGCCTGGCGATAATTACAGCTTTCACAGAGTGCCTCTTCTTCTTCTTCGTGTTTCACAAACAGTGTCTCACAAGGCCAGTGTCAACTGGAAACTCATTGAGAAAACACAGCATATATTCCTAACACAGTCCTCCTCAGATTCCCTTCAAGAAAGCACGGAGAAAGTGCCAAGTTTCCATTGGAACTGGGTATAACTGGAGACGTGCAACCCAGCTCCGCGCAACAAAAGACAGAAATAGCTTCGCTTTATTCACCAACAAAACTGACTCCCTTGCAGGTCTGAATCTTTTTGGGTAGGAAATCTCCAAAATACCTTCTAATGGGAAGTATGTTTCAGCTTGGTATCCAAGTTTAACAGACACACGGTGTTTTCACATCATTAGGGGCCTTGAAAGGTTCTTGGGGTACCGTCAAGAAACAGGGCTGACTACCCTCAGGTTGTAACATGAACTTTAGCTCATTTCCTAAATTCAGCAGTTACCATCTATGCTATTTTATGGCTTCTCTGCTTGGAAATCTGTGTTATATTATCATGGACATGAATAACGCAAACATGGCTTGATGCCATGCTCGTGTCTGTCAAAAGCTAAAAGGCTTCCTTCCTCCAACCTCCTACCCTGCAAAGACAGATCAGTAGGTTGGAACACTTTGGGGTATTTCCAGGATTAGAAAGTTCAGAACAACTGTATTATTTATGGGACACTTACCCTTCTCAGCAAGGATTTCAGGGGCAACATACGTTGGTGTTCCACACACAGTAAATATGGGTTTCGTCACCTGCTTTGCAAGGCCAAAATCCGCTAGTTTCAGTGTAGTAGATTTATCGGCATTATGCTGAACCTACGCTCAACAAAAAATACATACCTTTAGTCCAGATGCATTTTGAGACAGAAAAAGATTGAGTAGTTAATAATAAACAGGAAGAGTTCATAGAAGAGTTTATAAACGCTCTAAAAAGTTATAAAAGTTCTAATAACAGTGCCTTCAAATAGAGCAACACCACATGGAAACAGTATGCTGATAGACAGTGCTCAGAAAGTGGCTTTTCCCCCCATATTCCAAGAGGGTGCATATATTTAAGAGGACAAGCAATCATGGGAAAAGGAAACGCTGCTTTACAAAGCCTGGCACGCTGCAATTTCCAAGGAATGAAAAGGAGGAAGGGAAAATGATCAAGAGTCAATTAAATGTTGTCATTTTTCCTTGGGAAACTCTTCTGGGAGATCTGGGAAAGCAACGAAGGGCACTGTGGGCATACGTTACAGCCTGCTAATCCCTTTTCATCTTCTTTGTAGAAAATATAAGCAGCTTTCTACTGCTGATTAAGCAAACCATTCGGGGGGGTGTTTTTCTAAGAAAGACATTTTTCGGTATGAAATTGAAAATCAAGTTTACTACAAACATTCAGTTGAAACTGCAGGAGACAGCTACAATGCCACAGCCATTTTCCCTGTGACTTGGGGGGGTTGCTTGATGAGAAAATGAACACGAGCCGGCTTCAGTGTGCGCTCGCAGCCCAGAAAGCAACCGTATCCTGGGCTGCATCAAAAGGAGCGTGACCAGCAGGGCGAAGGAGGTGATCCTGCCCCTCTGCTCTGCTCTTGTGAGACCTCACCTGGAGCACTGTGTGCAGTTCTGGTGTCCTCAACATAAAAAGGACATGGAACTGTTGGAACAAGTCCAGAGGAGGCCACGAGGATGATCAGGGACTGGAGCACCTCCTGCATGGAGACAGGCTGAGAAAGTTGGGGCTGTTCAGCCTGGAGAAGAGAAGCTGCGTGGAGACCTCATAGCAGCCTTCCAGTGTCTGAAGGGGGCCTATAGGGATGCTGGGGAGGGACTCTTCATTAGGGACTGTAGTGACAGGACAAGGGGTAATGGGTTCAAACTGAAACAGGGGAAGTTTAGATTGGATATAAGGAGGAAATTCTTTCCTGTGAGGGTGCTGAGGCACTGGAATGGGTTGCCCAGGGAGGTTGTGAATGCTCCATCCCTGGTGGTGTTCAAGGACAGGTTGGACAAGGCCTTGAGTGAGATGGTTTAGTGTGAGGTGTCCCTGTCCATGGCAGGGGGGTTGGAACTGGATGATCTTAAGGTCCTTTCCAACCCAAACTATTCTATGATTCCATGATTCTATGACATTAGCCAGCTTCATGATGATGTTCTGCCATGATGTGCTGCAGGCACAATAGCTGACAGAAATGAAAATTCAATTGCAAAGTTACCAGTTACTTCTTAGAGCAGCATCTATGTCTAACAATAGAGGTAATAGTGGCACAATGCTACAGCACCTCACGGGTGAAATGCTCAATTTTATATCACTGAGCATATGAAATAGGAGAATTCATGTTTTCCTTTTTTATAAATAAAACTTTTACAATTATACAAGAAAATCATGTCACATGGAATTTCAATTAACACCCTGCATGCTACTGTACTAACATGAAAAATACAGGCTTGGACAGGGCTTGGGGCAACCTCGTCTCTGCCCATGGCAGGGGATTGGAACTAGATGAGCTTTAAGGTCCCTCCCAGGCCATTCTCTTTCATGACAGGCTCCTAATCTCTCATCACAGCACAAGGTGGCAACACTGCACCATCTGTTGTTCCAGGACAAACCCACCGAGCTTTCACTCTATATGAACGGGACAGGTAGGAAGAGCATGCACTGAGGGTGTATCTTCACAGCTTTGTAACAGTCATTTTCAAGACAGCATGTAACCTGCCAGCACACCTGAAAGCGCCAGCCCAGAACTCCTCAGCATCCTCACTAACGCTATGCTCAGAACAACTCAAAGTCAGCTCAGGCAGAGGGAGCATTCCCTTCATCCTCAGCTTGGTACTCTCCAGTCTACCTTCCCATCACCTTGAGCATGCAAATAACGCTCCACTACAGAAACAAAAGCTTCCTCAGCTTTCTGAAGCCAGATTACTTACTCACAGCACTACCACAGAAACAGACAACCTGCTCCAGAGAAATCCAGCCTCTGCCACCTACAGTACGTGCTCTGTGAATTTGGGAGAACAAAGGAAAAATGGGAACATTAAACAAACATACCAGCCTTGCTGTAACACCTACAGGACAGCTTTTTCTGTGTCTACATTCAAGACTAAAAAGAATGGTTCCAAAAGTCCATTTAAAACTGTTGCCTTGTCTTAGCTGCATGTAGTTGAGGTAAGACCGGTATTCAGTACACTTTCTGTAGCCAGCCAGCTTGGGCCATACAACTACCCGTGCCCTTCAGCTGCAAGAGAAGCCAGTATCTGGTAGTCTTGGACTAAAGGCAGTCAGAATTGCTCTCTGCTCTCTCCAATACAGATGCTATAGAAGGATGTCAGAATATTGCCTGAGGATTTCTAGCTATCCCAGCCATACATCCAGAAGATAATAATACACTAGTTCAAAGCCAAATTAATCTTCAAATAAAGGACAGATCGATCTCCTTTTGTCCTGTATATTGATGATTTCCAGTACTTCATGTTCCTGTTTGGTTTCCTATCTACCTTGTGAAATCCATCAGATTTCAGATCATGCAGATCAGCAGATGATGATTTATAGCATCACTATTTCTCTGTATGCACGTACATATGGTAGCACAGATTCTTCTTACAGCAAGTTAGCGCATGGGATGTTTTGTATATTAGAAATAGAAGCACTTAAGAAAAGGTACTGCTTACATGTCTAAGTTTCAGACAGCCCTTGCTGCTAGCTAGAAGAACCTCTATCAGACTGAAAGCTCCTGACAGGAAACTAGCAAACTGCTTTAACTGAAATGTACTCAGAAACCTCTAACAGTGCGTCGTGCAGACGTAAATAGTGTCACAAAAGCAAGGTTAAAGCACAAAAAGGAAGTACTTGAACTTACAAAAAGAAACCCAAACACACGAACAGTTATAACCCTTGTTTATGAAACCAAGTGTTAAACAACTGCCATGTATGTTTCAGAAGTGTACAAAGAGATGAGCATACAGTCACGAATATAACCCTGTCCCTTCCCCCTACAATGGAGCAAGGAGGTGACTTTGTGCCATTTACATCCCATACCCTGCAAAAACACCACTACACTTTGAAATTAACTTCTCACAAGCCAGGGAATGCCAGCACCTGCAGAATTAACCATCCCTTCCACAAAAACCTTGCCAGCAAATTCTGCTCCTCCAGGTAGCATTAAAGAAATGACTGGCTTCTTTCGTGGGACCAAAATCATCCCATTGCTCATCCTTGGTGGCAAAGCTCTCCCTGATTCAGTTAGCAGACAGGAGGGAGTGGGAGCAGCTGGCTTTACACCAGCAGTCCAACAGGTTTTGGTCTTGCACTGCAAGTCACCATCCCTCTGCCCCACAGCAATGCTGCGACCACTCTGATCGCTGTGGGCAGACACAGCAGTAAAAGAGGGATGGAGGGAAACTAAAACCAATGAGGATGGACTGCTACAGAAGTTTATAACTAGAGGACAGTTCCATAAGAGGAGCAGTAGTGCAGTGAACTAATGATTAACCCCAGTTTCCAACTCTCTCCTGTATCAATAATTTTGCTGGACATCAAAGTGCATTTCCACCTTTTCTTCTGCAGGGATAGAAATGGTTTTCCTTCTCCCCCCAGTTTTCATTTTCCCCAGTTTGCTGCTTCTCTGGAAACTCAGATGGAGATGAGCCATTCGCCATGGAAATTACTATGTTCAAATGTCATCATGAACAGGGTTGGTTCTCACACAAAGCAGGTTTACAGTAGACAAACTCATTTCCTTACTAAAACAGCCCAAGGGTCTGTTTCCTTCCATTTCCCATTTGCTGGAAAGAGGGAGAAAACTGTTGACCACAAATAAAAAGGACAAGATTCACCCTGACTAAAAGAAGATCTCAAAGGAGGACAAACAAGTCAGCAGCCTGAAAGTACATCCCTATTTCTGTCCTCTGCGTACAGAGGAAGTCTGGGGACACTAATTCAGACTTAAACATCTGCAGTGAAGCAAGAGGTATCCCACACCCAAGGACATCCCTGCAGGATGCTGGCACTTTCAGCACTGTGCTTCCTCCCAAAAGGCTCCCCCCAGCCCCTGACCCACCAACAGCAGCAGAACAACCCCTGAAACTTGCTTCAATACTGTTTGTTATTGTGGAGCACTGGCTGATGTTAAAATGGGTGGCAGGTCTCCTTCCTACTCTGCTGCTGCTGGTCCAGTCACTCAGAGGAGTCAGAAAGAACCCACTGAAAAGCCAGAAAAGGCAGACTCCTGCCCAAATGGCCTGTTTTAGATGGCACATCAGCTATCCAACACTATCAAGAGCTTATAAACTCATTTGGCTTGTTGAAACAGGCAGCAAAACATCACACTCACTAACAGGCAGCAAAAGGTGAAACTGGAACAGGTACAATTTCCCTGCCCACAGTGAAAGTGGAACCAGCATTTGGGGAGCGCCAGCCTCAGGCTTGGGGCCAGCCTGTCCTTGACAAGTGTTTTCTGACTGTCAGAACAGGCAACATGATCATTTCAGTGCTACACAACACTGTCACTGCCCAGCAATCTCCGGTTCGCAGTGCTGTGAGCTAAATGTGAGAACAACCAGAATGGACCTGTTATCTTGCTTCTCTTGGCTTACCCGCATCACCGCAATGATTACATATTGCAGAGGGAAATGAAACATCTGGTTTCAGGTGTTTCAAAGGCACTGCCTTATTTTCAGCAAATAGGAAGGCGCAGAGCTTTTCCATTATGATGGAAAAATCAGCTTCTGGAGAAAGCCCTGTGGTTTTAATTGAAGTTTTGGCAAAGCAAGGCATGAAAACAGGGCCTACAATCCCACTTTTTAATGGAAATCAGCCATTTGCACTCCCCAGCTTTTATTTACACACAGACCACATACCAAGCATTGCCATCAGACTAAGCAGGATACGCAGCAAGGTCTTGTACAAGTGCAATCGCTTAGTCAAAAGGTCTGAGAGCAAGAAGTTGAGGTCCTTGTGCAACCTCTGCATGCCCTAAAGGCTGCACTCATTAGAGACTGGCAAATACTTGGTATCCATCAGGAAATCTGGAACCCTCGAACACACAATTAGCAAGGGAGAGCTGCTTGCTGTTAGTGTTCTACAATGAGCGTCTTGTGCCAGCACTGCAAACATTTCTTTGCATGTTCACACATGTGAGTAATCCTATTGATTTCAGTGCCGGATGCAGAGAATGCAGCCTCAGAAATGTGGTGGAAAAAAAGCTTTTCTCTTTGGCGTGAAGCTAGTATTTGAGCTGACTTTAGTGCCGGTTTGCACCACAACACGTTTTATTGCCAGGTTATTTTAATCAGCTGCATCGTCCTTCTGCTCCTAAACAATGGTCACAAGACAAAAATCACTGCAGTAGTGGACAAAAAGAAGTCCATCAAATAAATGAGCTAAATTAGCAACTGTGATAAATTTTGGTCTGCAAGGCCTCATGGTTCAGGGTGTGCTTCATACAAGAAAAGTCATCCTTCACACCTGAAACCAGACTTCCAGAAAGACACAAATGCTCCCTACCCCTGGAAGCGAGGTCATTTCTATCTGCAAGCACTGCTATCTGCAATGCACAGGAGAGCTACGTGAGGTGAACTGTAATGGTAATTTCACTTCGCAATTATACCTGTTTTTGCAAACAGAGCTGCCACAGCACATTCTCTCTACAAAGTATTTGCTTCTAAATAGTCAAAGATCCGCAACTAAAAGGAAAATGAATTCAGCTCCTGCTCACGTGGAATGAGTTTGCCAGTACTTACCAAAAGATTCTCTGGTTTGAGGTCCCTGTGGACAATGTTCTTGCTGTGGATATAAACCAGTGCTTCACACAGGTCAGTGATCATGACAGCAGCATCATGCTCTGTGAATTTCACACTTTCTATGATGGCATCAAATAAGTCCCCTCCTGGGACGTACTCTAGGATTAGGTAGATCTCTGCTTCTGTCTCATACACTTCAATTAAGCTTACTATATTGGGATGAGAGAGACTCCTGATGATCAGAATTTCACTCTCCATCATGTCCTCTTTCCCCTTCAACTTGGATTTATCAACGATTTTCATGGCATAGATCTGGTTGGAGTCACAGTGGCGACATTCCTTCACCACTGCAAAGTTCCCATCCCCAATAGTTCTGCCAATCTCGTAGTGTTTTTCCACATCAGTTCTGTTTTTAATGGCATGCCTCCGGCTTGTGCCTTCCAACCCCTGAGCCTTGCTTTCTTCCTTATTGGCTCTGCGCTCCCCTGTTTTCTCTCGTCGCGTCAGGTCACTCTCTCTACATGCGATATTCCCCTCTCTTCTGGCACCCTCCTCTTTAGCTCTTTGTCCGTCTCTATGTGTTTTAGATGGTTTCTCAGCATCCCTCGGAGTGTCTTTCTTTAGCCAACCACTTTGGTTCATTATGCAGCTACTTCCATTCTCTTCCTTCGCTTCGCGAGTTAGCTGCAGCCCTTCTACAGCATTCTTCTTGATTTTCACTACTTCCTTCCCATGGCTTTCATGTTTCTCCACATCCCTTTCCTTCTCGATGCTCCTTTTTTGTTTCTCCAGCCCTTCACTAACATTCCTAAGCAGGGGCTTCCACGTCCTCCTACAGCTATTATCCTTCCAACCAACTTCCTCACCTTCCAGACAGGTTTCTGAGGATTTCCGGCAGTTCCTGATTTTGGCATTTCTCTCCATGTGGTACCTCTGACACGCACCCGCGGTCAGGTCTCTGCTCTCTAATGAGGCCTCAGCCCGCCTTTCCCGTTCTAACTTCTGCCTGGCCTGCCTTTCCTGTTCGCACTTCTCACATCTCACCACCTCCTCCGAGCTCTCTTCTAACCCATCCTCAGGGCTCCTCTCACGGCTGAAGTACCTCTCGCTTTCTCGGATCTTCCTAGAAGGCTTCGCCCCTTGCTCTCCATCCCAGCTCTCCCTACTCCACTTCTTTTTTGTTCTCATCTTTTCCTCTTGCTTTGCCTTGGCTTGACTTTTCCCTTTATGTCCAGCTGCCAGTTTGGGAGACATGCCATTGCTGCAGTTCTTGGCAATTTCTGTTTCATCAAAGCCACTGTCCACTTTGGAAGCCTTGTCATACAGCCTGCCCATCAGCTTCTGGGACTGCTCCTCATTCTGCTGAATGACGGCACTGGCAGCGTATGGGTTTTCAGGGTAAAGTTCTTGTAACACCACTTCCAGGTCCTTCAAAGTGAGGGGCTCTCTGCCCATCGCTATGAATGCATCACCTTCCCTGAAGAAGTCAGAAACACTTTGGATTTCTCTGCCTCTCAGATTGTAAAGCTTTCGCACACGGTCATTCTTCCAGCGTGGAAATCCCAGAGCCTCTGAAATGTCGGCCATCAGCTGCTCGAAGGTCTGGACCGACCTCCTGTTGAGAAGCAAGGTTATCCTCCTGAGCGTGTGGCCACCAGGTTTCACCACTGTGATAATCCTTGGCTTCACAGGACTGTGCTCTGAATGTAAAGTGTGAAAACCATTGCGGGGATTAAAAAGCGGGGACCTCTGACTGCTTTCGTGCAAACAAGCTTTTCCATAGCTTCTACGACCAAGAGGAGGACACGTCCCTTGTAGCTTCCTCTCTTTTACTTTTGAGCTCGAGTTGTGTGGCGAATGGTCAAACAAGGCCTGGCGCCCTAAAGCAAACAAAGAGCAGGCATATTATTTCTGAGTAAAAGCTTTCTACATGGCAATGCATGTGACCAAAAAGAGTAGGGGTAGGTGCATTCAGTGCTTATAAAGAACTGCCACTAAGGAGCAACTCCATGTGCGCGCAACTACAAACACGTTCAAGTTTGGGAGAAAACGTAAATGCGCTTTGTGACAAATAATACTGGAAACAAATCCTTCTCCTAAATCCTTCCCAACTTCCAGAAATCCGCAAAAAACCATGGGGTTACTTGTGCCAGGATCGCATCCAGATTGTTCAGCGTTCTCTTACGAATCCACCTACCACGAGCACACTCACTTCCTTTCTGAACCCAATTACAAGTTTGGCCTCTGTACACCCTGCAGCAACAAGTTCACAATTACATCGCACGAAGTAAAAGAGATGAATTACTTCTGGTTCAAAATTGTTACCAGATGGCAATGTGTGTGCAGCCTTATATTCCTATAAATAACTTCCTCCACTTTCCTTGGACCATTCATTAATTTTCTAGACTTCTACAACAAATTAAGTACATGAGATTCATTTTAAAAAGCATTACTTTCGCTCTAATTTTACAGGAATTTTATAGCACATTTAAGAGTGATGAAGTTTCTCTTTTTTCTCTTAAAGGAAGGACATCCTTTTTTTTTTCCTTGTTTGTTTGATGACTGGAGCCCAATATTTTGGTTTGACTTTTTTAGTCTAAAACTTACGTAAAACGACACAAAGTCCCGAGTGTCCTCCAGCGACATTAAACATTTTCCATCCCATATTTCATCTTAGAATACCAACCAAAGAAAACAGCACCATTTGTTACTTGTAATTCTGAACAGAACTGAGAACATCACATATGGTTATGGACAAACCAAGCTTTAACATAATTCACTGTCTATAAACGCAACAATAAGGTAAGAATAAAAATGTCCCCTTAAATACTCTGATTTCTTGTACCTATTGAGATTAAAACTTGATTATAATGCAGTTCTTTTCAGCCTTGAGAAATAAACTTTCAGGTTGAGATCACAGAGTGCTTCCAACTCCATTTGACACTCTTGCACTTCAGTTAGGAACAAACATTCAACAGGTATGAACAGGACCAAGACAAAAGAAAGCAGCTAGAATTGGGTAATGACCATAAGAAACGGCTTATCTCCCAGAGCATCCCACCCATTTTCCTATATTCCTATGATTACATAGTCACAGTGCCATGGACAAAGCCACAAAGGAAAATCTGCACATATGAGCCTTCCCCTGGGCGCTAGGCTTAACACATACCCGTTCAAGCATTCTGGCAGGCTTAAGCCTACTACAGTTTGGATTTCAGCAGCTGAAAAGCTATTTTCAGTATTTCAAGCTATGCGTTTTTCTTTGTCCTTTTCACCAAGGCATAATAGAACAAAGAGGAAATACACCTCCTCACCTAGAAAAACAAACAGGAAGGAGAACACAACAAATGCTGCAGCATTCACTCAAGCTGCTGCCAAAAGAGCGCATCCGAAAGGCCAGTGGCTGAGTGGGGAAAGCACATAAGAAGACACCACTACAGCTACAGACCTCCATTCTGCTGCTGGCTTTGCCCTGTGTACTGCATCCAGCTCTGGGACGGCTAACACAGGAAGGATGTGGACCTGCTCAAACAAGCCCAGAGGGATGCTGCGAGGGCTGGAGCAGCTCTGCTCTGGAGCCAGGCTGAGAGAGCTGGGCTGGGGCAGCCTGGAGAAGAGAAGGCTCCTGAAGGGGAGACCTGAGAGCAGCTCCAGTGCCTGAAGGGGCTGCAGGAAAGCTGGAGAGGGGCTTGGGACAAGGGATGCAGGGACAGGCCAAGGGGAATGGCTTTAACCTGCCCGAGGGGAGACTGAGATGAGCTCTTAGGCAGAAGCACTTCCCTGTGAGGGTGCTGAGGCGCTGGCACAGGGTGCCCAGAGAAGCTGTGTGAGCTTTCACATCCCTTCCAACACAAACCAGTCTGTGATTCTATGATGGATGCTTCTTAGTTGCAATACTCTCACCATTAAGCACTGTGTGCCCCCAGTATGTCCTTTAACTCTTGGCTTCATTTTATTCCCCCTGCCAAGTGAGAGAGAAACTTCTCTCCAAATAAATATTACGAAGAAGCCCAACTGCCAGCACAGGGATTGAAGACGTAAGCATTATATAAAAGCTACATGTGACTAATACTTTGTGGTTGTACAAGTTATTTCTGTCTTCATTCTGCTTTTTGAGGATGAGCTCTTTGTTATCAAAAGATGACTACATGCGTGCTAGTGATTCTGCTGCAGATATTTACATTCTATTCAGAAGAAAGCCTACTGTGAATGGGCTGGTAAAAACATATTTAGATTAATAATAGTCCTCTGAGATCTGAATCAAGTCCAGAATGTTCCTGGTTACCAGGAACTGCTGAAGCCCTGAATTTAATCAACTGGATGCCCACTGTCACCAAAGCACCATCTTGCTTACCAGAACAGCACGTGACATTTGTACTGCTCACAATCTTGGCGCTACATAAAACCTATGCTGCACTAATAATGACTTCCCTTTATGTGTCCCCCAGCCATTAGCACACCTTGCTATAAACCATTCATTTCAAGTGCCTGGCTGACTGCTGATCGTTTCAATTTCCCAAACATCAATTATGTTTTCTTTCTTCACTAAACGGGCTAAGCTCTAAACAGAAACCAAATTTAGTTATTAATTCTATAATTAAGGGAATAAGAGCAGTTGTGTGCAATTATTAAGAACAATATAGGAATGTGCTTTTGTCCTTTTTAAACTGGCTAAATCCCTAGCCAAAGAGGAAGTTTGACACAAGCCATAAGTTAATATGTAATCATTTTAGGAATAATAATAACAATATTGTATATTTTTCTAAGATGAAAGCGGAAGTTACATGAATGCTTAAATTCATGTGGAAAGGAATCTCCTTTTCCTGAGAAAGGGGAAGTGTCAAATCCTGTTAAAGCGGTGGCCACAATGACTATACATTACATAGGGTTTGTGTTATTTTCCACTGATGCTATATTTAATTGAACTGATTCCCATCAAGCAAGCCTCAATCTGTCAGGAAAGTGCACACCCTTAAAGCAGTAACAAGCGTTTCTGGAAAGCCTTCAAAGGTCACACACATACACAAATGCTCCAGCTACAATTTATATTGCTTCAAAATGTTGCTTCCATATTTATATACAAGTGGGAGAGGGAGGTGGGATCAGAAACACACTTCAATGAGTCTAAGTCCTAGCAAACTATACATCAGGGAATAAAATGTGTTTATTCTTTTACTGTCTTACTGAAAGCTAATCATAGAACGGTTTGAGGTGAAGGGAGCTTAAAGCTCCTCCAGCTCCAACCCCTGCCACAGGCAGGGACACCTTCCACTAGAGCAGCTTGCTCCAAGCCCCTGTGTCCAACCTGGCCTTGAGCACGGCCAGGGGTAGGGCAACCACAGCACAGCTGGCCACAGGCATCATGTATGCCATCTAAGCTGCGCACTTGGGCACCCAAACAAAATAAAACTGGGATTTACAGAGTGATACAGAGCTCCAGGTGGTAAAGACGTGATGGTCTTGTAAGGTAAACGATCACAGCAAGTCCTCAGGAAGCAGGAAGGATGGGACAATCAGGGATCTGGGGGCTCAAACAGGTAGCAGGAACACAAAATTTAGCATCTACTGACCAAAGCATCAGTGGTCCATGGAGAGAAAATGGTTGCTGCAGGGAGGACAGCTTTTGTGATTCATTTTTAAAAGCCAATTCACAAACCATGTGTGATTGAGTGATAGTCACAGTCAGTCCCACTGTGTTGGGGAGAGGAAGGCATAGGAGGGAAACAGCAAAAGAAGACTTCTCCTTGTGCAGTTTGGCTCAGTATCTGGACCTGAAGTGAAATAAAGGGAACTGAGAAGACCTAAGCTCTGAATAAGGTGTGCATACAGAGCTTCAACCAATCCTCATCTTCACAGTGAGGGACTGGCCTCGCTATTCCCCCTACAGCACCAGAATAACAGGGCTTCCCAGAGGCGACCTATTCTGGCAATCAAAAACGGACCGCTGCCATTTGTCCTTCAGAACTTCTCCCTTCCCTTGACCAGTCTTTGTTCCTTCATTAAACCACTGCTGCTCATCCTGCATCCTCCTTGGCTCTAATGAGTGATGGCAGTCGCAGTAATTAACTGAATGGTTTACCCAGCAGCCGGCTCTGCTCTCAAGTCACAGGTTGCAGCGGCATTAAACTTTTACAAGGAGTATTCCCACACAGAAGGCAACACTAAAACAGGGTCCAGTTCTGGCATTGCTTTCTGTGAATAAGGTGGTGTTATTTAAGCCCTGCAGTTTCCTTAGAGGACCCTGGATCAATACGAAAGCCTCCACTTACAAAATCAAGTGTGAGAACTCCCTAGAACACCAGCAGCATTCTTCAGGCAACTAAAGTTGCGCACGACAGAAACTGTGCATCTGGGAGGTTTCGTTACTTACTGGTGCCCATGCAGGGTAAGCAGAACACTTTCAAAAGGGAAGGAAAAGAAGGGAACTAAAACTGTCTGGTTTTATCATAGCCCCAGCAATTTCTGCTGAGGGCATGGAAAATAATGACCATAGGGAATAAAAATAACCTTAATTGGAGCCCAAACCAGTAAGTTCATGCCAAAGTTATCAACAAGTATCTTAAAGTTGAGGGTGAAGAATACATCTGGCCTTCAACTCAGAGCAGCCAGGTGTGTAGCTCACACAGGGTTATCAGTGTGCACCAGCAGCTCGGTTCAGGATGCAGTCTGAGTCCTCTACTTACATGGAAACAAAATATGATCACAGGCATCCTTTTACAGCAAGTAAATTTTGCATGAGCATTGTTTACAGCTCTACTGTTGGAAAACACCACTGGTGAACTTCTCTCTCAAGAGCTGTAGGACCCTCTCCTTCCTTCCCTGCTGCTCATCCTTGCCTCCCACCATGCTTTAGAGTGTTTTACTGCACAGATTTACATAG